CCTAGCATCACCTATCCTGGTGGCGGTGAAATTACTGCATGCATTTTTTTTTTTTTTAAGACAAGGGATGTTAATGTATGTGTTTTTTTTTTTTTTCTACACTAAAACTTCCGCATTCAGGTTTCATTGCAGTGTTGGCACTTTTTGTGATAAATAAGTGGGCTTGGGGTGCTGCTTGGACACTCGTCTCTGAAAGGCTCACTGTCACTGTCCTCTGGTAGCTGAAGTACTCAAATTTCTGACACACCGGTTCTATGAATCCTGTTTAATCCTCACAACGGCCCTCCTACCTTGTTCTCAAGCTCAGATGTCATCTTCACTGCTGGCCATGCTGTCTTGTCTGCCCAGCGGGAGCTCTGTCCCCTAACCCCTCTGCCTGCCTAGCTCCCTCTCACCCTCTGACCTCATGTGGCCTTCATTCTTTCCAGGCAGCATCCTGTATCCCCTCCAAGCTGGACACGGCTCTTTTCCAGGCCCTGTGCGCTGTCCTGTGCTCCCCAAGTCCGCAGGCGTAACCCAGCATGCGCTCCTTTACCTCCCTGGTGCTGCTGAGCTGCAGCTCCGCAGACAGGAGCACATCCATCTTCTTCTCTATGTGTCCCTGATGCCTGGCGAATCGCCTACTCGTAATGGACGCTTGATAAATATGTAAGGAATGAACACATGAGTAATTTGACAGTAAACTAAAATATTTTTATAACTGCCAAATAACCCCTTCAAGTTCAAACTAAAATACTTCAGAGAGTAACATCTAGTGAAGTCTTTTTAATCTGAGATACTTACAAAATCAATTAGGATATACCCACTCTTAATTTAAGCCAAGTTTCCTCTACGCATTTAATGGGGCTGGCTAAACAGATTCTCAAATAAGTGCTTGTTAATTACACTAATTAATAAATGGTTGTATTAAAACATGTGAGCTATGGAAGACCTAGTTAAGACCTGAAATGACTACGTGCATGTAGTGAGCACATAATAAGCGAGGAGTTTCTGAAAGGGATAGTGTTTGCTGCCTTGGTTAATTTGGGGGTTGCTCTGAGCATTCAAGATCCCTGAGGCAGCAATTTTGGGTGATATGGGTGGGGAGGAAGGAATGCCGCATCCCTGGAGGCTTTGTATTCTCTACTTAGCAACATACAACTAAGAAGCCTGACAGCCAGCACAAAAAGGAGATACTGTATCCTCCTACCACATAAGGACACAAGTTTGGGTGAGACTGGTGAATCTCCTGGATGTATGAAGAAAGGCAGAAGATGTCATCTTTACTTTATACTCTATTTTAATTCATAAGGAAGTTTCTTTGCTCTACATGTTATCAGTATATTTAATAATCTTAAAATTCACACTTTGGCTCAAAGGTTACTTCCTTAAACTTTCCCCAAATTGCCTGACCAGGTTAAATAATAATCCTTCTCCAAACAGATTAGAGTTTTACATTTTGGGAAACAATTTGAGGAATCTGTCAAATTTCTCCAAAACTCTAGAGCTCAAGCCCTCTGAGAACAGGCACTGTATCTGGTTTTGCTCCCATTATATTTCCAGGGCTTTGTACAGAGCCGTACAAAGAGTACTTTAAAAGACAGAGGAGACCTGGGAGAAGTATGATCACAGAAGCCAGGGACGTCTGTTGGCACTGAAAGGTGACAGGAACAGAAGTCACCTCACACGAGGTGGGAAGTCTAACACAGATGCTCCTTACAATAAAGTGATATCCAATGGCTATATCGTAACTATGATTGGAAAACAACTGTCCCTTATGAGGACTTTAAGTCTGGGATTAATCTGAAGAACTCTGAAGTTCTTGGAGAACTTGAAGACATGATCTTGATTTACCTAACCAGTGTAAATAGAAGAAGCAAAAAATACAAGGACTTGTATTATTTATACAAATAATTCTTCAAGTATCATGACCAACACATAAAGATAACCACAAGGAAACAGCATTATGAGCATAATCTAGCAGAAACAACAGACAACAAAAATAGACCCACAAGTGTAGGTGTCGTTTGTCAGAAAGTACAATAGGCTTTGAAATTTGGAAATATACTTCTTCACTGCTTCATAATAAGAATTAGAATGCACTTTGAGATAGAAAGCAATGAAAATATTGTATACTAAAACTTATGGTAAAGTGATACAGCCACTTTGAAAAATAGTTCAGCAGTTTCTCAGAAAGTTAAACGTAAGAGTTACCTTCTGACTCAAAAATTCCATTCCTAGGTGTATACCTAAGTGAACTGAAAACCCATTCACACAAATATTTATAGCAGCATTATTCATGATAGCAAAAGTGTAAACAACCTGAGTATCCATCAACTAATGAATGGATAAACAAAAGGTAATGTATCTGTGCAATAGATATTATTCAGCTATAAAAGAGAAACGAAAAACTCATACATGTTATATCATGGATGAACCTCAAAAATATTAAGCAAAATGAAAGAAGTCAGATACAAAAAGCCATGTGATTCCATTTGTATGAAATATCCAAAGTAGGCAGGGGCATGGAGGGGGTACATTTGTGGTTGCCAGGGACTTAGAGGAAGGGGAAATGGAAAGTGGCGCTAATAGCTATCAGCTGTCTTTTGTGGTGATGAAAATGTTTTGCACACAGTGGTGATGGCTGATCAGCCTTGTGAATACAGTATACTAAAACCCGCCAAATTGTATACCGTAAAGGGTAAATTTCACAGTATATGGATTATATCTCAATTTTTAAAAAATTGTAGGATACAGCCATGTAAAAGAAAATGTGTAGTTTTAAATTAATATATTAAACTGTTCTTTCCTAGTTTGCTAATATGCTCTAGTTAACTTGCCAGAATTCTGTGTTGATCTGCTTATTTTTCTTACTAGTAAAGATATGCTTAAAATATCCACAACAAATACGAATCTATGAAAATATAGCAGATGTTAAGAGAACATAGAATTCTAAAAATAAAAAAAAAACTAAATTAACCTAACAGAATGATTTAATAATAAGACTAGACACAGCTGGAGAGAGAACTGGTCAATGGGAAGGTAGGCTGGAAAACAATGGTCCTTATTCATGTGACACGAAGTACTGGGTGGTGGAGTGTCATGTTGTCAGCCGCTTTCAAATGACCGAGGGAAATATATCTGGATCTACAGAGTGTGTGCGCAGACAAACGTGCTGAGCGAGGGAGGGAGACAAAGCAAACGTGGGAAGATGTTAGTAACTGGTGAATCTGCGGAAAAGGCACATGTGCACTCCTAACTCACCATGCTGCTTTGTTCCTCCCTCAGCGGTGGCTTTCCTAAGCCTGCTCACGGGCTCTTCCACTTCTTGCTCATCTCATAGATTGTAACGGCTGAGGGCTCAGGTCTTAGCTTCCTTCTGCGATCGTGTTCATTCCTGCGGTGATTTCCTTCAGTCACAGGCCTTCAATGACCTGATACTATCTCCCAGCCTCCACCCCAATCTAGACCTCTCTCTCAGACTCAGCTGTCGCATCTGGTGTGTAACTAACATCTCCACTTGGCTATCTAGCAGACACCTCAAATTTAACCAGTCCAAACATGAACTCAAAATCTTCTCTACCTGCATCCTTCCTCAACTCAGGTGGTGGCAACTTCATCTTGAACTTCAGTGACTCTGCCCAGCACCTTGAATTCTTGCTTCAGTCTTCTATTCCATGTATTTTTTCAATCCACCAGTGAGCCTCTCGGCCAACTCCTGTTTTGTGCCTCTACTGTGCCTCGCCTGCTTTGAGCCACCAGTAGCTCTTACCAGCAACAGCTTTTTAGGCGGCTTACCTGCCTCACCCTGTGTCCCTGTACCATACTTCCCCTCCACAGCCAGAGCAATCATTGAGAGTCTAAGTCACAGTATGTCATTTGGTACCCAAATCTACTGCAATGTTTTTTCAGAGTAGAAGCCGAAATCTCTAATAATGGTCTCCAAGAACTTCCATCATTTGGCACCTCTCCTTAGGTCTGTCACCGCAAGTCTACTACGGCCCCTCTGCATCCAGCCACACTGGCCTCCTGGCCCTTTCTCAAAAGGTCAAACGTCCTCTTTTTTGTCCACTGACAGTTCATCTATCTCCTAGACATGATGAAAACCAGTTTCAGTTTGTCTGGGAGAAGGACTCAGGCATCAGTCTGTTTTTAAAATGTTCCACATTTCTTCAAAATAATCAGGGATTATTTTAGCCTGGAGCTGGTTACTGTTGATGGGAACACGGAGCCTGTTGAACTATTCTCTCAAACAAATATAAAACAAAATGAAAGCTTCTATGATGATTCCAGTGTTTAGCCGGGATAGGAATCACTGGCCTGTAATCCCCGAGCTAGGGCATTTTGTCCATAAATAATCAAGATACTTTTATTTGAAAGACTGTCTTAGCAAATTAAAAAGATACACATAAGATGAAAAAAATTAAATTTATTTCTAAAATGGAAAAAGTATGTACTTGAATTCACTTTACAAAGTACGTTAACAATAAAAACATGTCCCATGCCCTACTTATTTCAACTTAACAATCAACACCGTGACATCTGAAAGGAAAAAGACTTCAGGCCCTTGTTTGGCAAACCTGAAACTTGCAAGAGAACACACGAAACCAGTGCTCCAAACTCCAGCTGCCTAGGTCAAGGCGGAGGCTTGCTGACGCTGATGCTCCAGACAGTGGAGAGAGAAAGGGCTGCTTGCTGTTCACTTTGCCCACAGCTCTCACGGAGTTATCTGCAGCTTGAAGTCTGGTCTCGCCTTTCACTAATGCTTAACACCATTCTGAGGTGCAATACAAGGCATGGAAGAATGACGTTCTCTTCAGGTGCAAGTGGACTAATACAAACTGGAAATTATCAAAGGTGGCTTCTCTTTGGAAAATAAACCATGCAAATGAATTTACTGGTTTAAAATTCCTCATGCCGGCAAATGAACCCAGGGCCTCGGTAATGAATTATATCTCCAGCCCCTTTTATTTATTCTTTAAATTCTGAGACAGGGTCTCACTAAGTCATCTAGGGTGGCCTTGAACTTGTGGTCTGCCTGCCTCAGCCTCCCAGAGTGGTGGGACTGCAGGTGTGCACCACCATGCCTGGCTGAAAGATACTTGTTAATAAACCTGACAAGGAAAATTACACTACCACTCTTTCCCCATAGTAAGGAGAATCTACAAAGTGTTAACTTCTTAAGTGTTTTCGGAAGTGGAACCACATGAATTCTATCAAAGTGGCTATTGAGGATGTCAGACTTGGGCAGACTGAGAAGTCTACAAAGGTTTGCTGACCTGCAGACCACTCTTGCTCATGCTTACCAGGTGGCTATTGATGACGCTAAGCTCCTGTATCACTGTGCTCAGATCTTCATGGAGTCTTACTATCGCAACTTTCACCTCCTCTAGAAGAACTGTAATGGAACTCTTTGCTTCAGGTTCCCTAGGCAGGTTCTCTTTGCTGGGCTGAAAACTAGGACAGGACATGGAGGGAATGTTGTCTACATTTTGGGTGGGAAAAGCTACCCAGGTACTGCTGGAAATGTGACTTGTCTGGTTCTTAGCAGAATCAGAGTTATCTGGCAGAATTTCCAGCAGGTTGAGATTGTCATTTTCCTCTTCATCAGAAGACACCAGGCCCCTAGGGGCGAAGGGGTGGTGGGCCCTGGCTGCCTCAGCTCTATGCTTAATGGAGGCAGAAGACCACTGTGGATGCGGCAGAGCCCAGAAGGAAGGCCTGGGCACATCCAGGGGTAAGTGGAGAACTGGCTTCTCTGGAGGCGCTGCATCAGGAGGTGACACGGAGGAAGCAGAAAAGGAAGATGTCCCCTCAGAGGTAGTTGAAACTAAAATGCATAAATGAGAGAGAAAGATTTATGTAACACATACATGAGAGTAATAGAACAACTTCATAATGTAGAAGTCTATATGGAAGGTCTCAATATAAACTACTTAGAATTTTAAATGTTAAATATTCATAATAAGCCTTAAAAAATCCAAAGCAGGAAACTGAGAAAATCTACAGATGTATTATATATCAATAATACCATGGAAATGAACCTAAAATAGGATTATCAATATTCATCTTGACTCCCAAACCCTGCCCAACATATTTTTACACTAAACTTCATCAGAGAGAAGAGCATTAAACCCCATTCTACTGACTGCCGGCATTTTAACTTGGTATTTAAAGTAGAAAGTCTGAGAAACCTGCAATTTAGTCTTTCATCCCCCCCACCCCACAAGATGGTGATGACGACAAGATGAACTACCAACTAATGAGAAATACCCCAAAGTTAGCGAAATCAATCTTTTCCTCTCTGCGGTCAAATACAATCAAAGCTGAAGCCCAACCCATCTGAGATTCAGAACACTTTAGCACTCATATATAATCATTTTTCTTACCAATAAACTGGAAGCAACATAAAAATCATTCTAAACCTGATTTCTGTTAAACAAAAAAATTCCTGTAAAATTAAAGATTTGAGAAAAAAATCTACTTTTTCAGGCCAAATCACATTAAATGTTTTTTTTTTTTTTTTTATCATACTTCATTCTAAATCATTATTCCCAGAACTCTTCTGAGGAACAATGTGTTCTTCAAGACATTGCATGTTTTTGTGAAACAGGGCTTTGTGGTCAAGTAAGGCTGGGCGAACTGCACATTGTGTCCTACGTCGGGACTGATCTATTCACTGGTCTATTAGCATACTTAAAATTCGGAGAAATCTGCAGTATCTTATTCAGGTGATATGCTTCTTTTTTAAACACAGAACTGTTTGTTCTTCATGGAATAGTTATTTACATTCATCTGTGGATAGATGGTAAAAACTAGTGAAAGCCAGTTTAGTCTCTGTGACTTACTCTGAGCTTGATACTTGAGCAAGACTTATTCACTGCAAGCCACAGAGCAGGAAAACTGATGCTTACCACTTAGCATGACGACTTATCTGTATTGCATTTTCTTTACACATTCAGGTCCCTTCTAAATTGGAACTCTTATAAAAAATATGGCCAGGGTAGGTGGCTACTCTCTATTTTTTGCCTGTGAACGCCCTTTGTGGCCCATCTCCAGTTTTCGGGAAAAATTCTAATCATAAAACTCTTTTGAGGATGAAATGAGTATTCTAAGCTGGTGCAGCAGCAGGACATGAAAGGGAAAGCAGGAACTTCGCCGTACGTGGTCAGGACAAGCCATGTACACTTCAGGATGTAGGTCAGGCGAATCTGGACATTCTATCTTTGGAGGAAACAGATGCTACAATGCTAGTGGGCACGCCAGTGAGGAAAGCCTTGCAGATTCGTGTCCTGAGTGGCACTGCTGCATTCTAACTTGGTGTGCGCTGGGTGTCCTCTGACATGTCCCTTTCCTACCCTCCAGGGCCGGCTCTCTATTTTGTATATCCAACGTCCTCCTGCTTGGTTCACTCTCACTTTGGGGTAGCACATTCTCCAGGAGATCAATGAAAAGGATGAATAAAAGGTAAAGGTTTGGGAACTTTGTGTCTGAAAATGGACTTTGCTTTTAGGCTTAATGATAGATTGGTTAGGTAAATCTAGACAGAAATTCTTTTCTTTCAGAATTTTGAAGGCCATATTTTACCATCTTCTCACCTCCAGTATTCAAAAGTTGGAATTATTTTAATTCTTGTTAAGTGTATATACCTTATTCTGCCTCTGAAGTATTAGAAAGCTTTTCCTCGTTGGCCCTGATGTTGTGCGGCTTCCAAATGCTGTGCCTTGAAATGGGATGAATTTCATTCCCTGAGGTCAAGTGAAAGTGAGACTTTCAAACAGGCAATTCATTTCCTTCAATTTCAAAAATTTCTGAAAGGATTTAATCAATTATCTTCTCCTTGGTGTTTTCTCTGTTCTTTCTGAAGCTCACCTTGTGTAGTTCTTAGATCTCTTAGGCTAATCTTCTAATTTTCTATTTTTTTCCCCGTTTTTCCTATGTTTGCCTCTTTGCTCTACTTTCTTGGAGATTTTGCCAACTTTACCTTCCAATTCTACCACTGAGTTTCCCATTTCTGCTACTATAAATTTTAACTTCCAAGCACTCTTCTGTTGTTGTTCTCAGTTCTTCTTGTGACATCCTGTTCTTGTTTCCTGGTTACACTGAATTTTCTTATCTCTTTGAGGATAGTAAAGATGAGTTTTGTTATTTTTAAGTTTTCTTTTCCCTTCACAGTATAACCTGTTCCCTCCAAATTATTTTTGTTTTGCCTCACTATTTCTTGTGGGAATTTTTTTCAGCTGTCTGATACTCCACGTCTGCATTAAGATAGGGTTAAAAAGCTAAAGGGAAGCTCTGGATGTGAGTATGGAGTTTGTCATCTTTGAGGCTCAGAGCATAGTCATTTAGGTGGGTTGTTTGTTAGGGAGCTACTAATAGTAATATCTTTGTTTTTTCCTCTGAGACAGTTCAAGTTCTTACAGGAATAATTTGCTGTTACCTGCCTAGCAGGCAAAGGTCCGGCTGCAAAGGCGGATGGAGACCGCTAGGGTAAGGGAGGCTGCAGCACGTAGCCTTTGGACTGCGTAATGACCACCTCTTCCTGCAGTCTGGGTTACAGCACTCATCTCAATTTCAGAAATCCTCCACCTACTCTGTCAGAAAATAATCTCCAGGTTCCGCCAGGGCCTAGCAGTGATGGGTATTTAGGGTGACTATTCAGCTCCTTGGCAGGGTGAAGTTTAAAGATTTAAGTGCTTTTCAAATAGCTGTTTTCTAATTCTATTCAGTACCTGCTGTTGATGTAGCTTGTCCCTCACAGTCCACGTGGTTCCCAGAATGGCACTGTAAGGAGGGGGTGGAACCTTTAAGTGGTGGGGCCCAGTGGGAGCTGCTGCCTTCAGAAGGGACTAATGCAGTTCTCATGGGAGCCAGGTTAGTTGCCACAAGACTGAGCTGTTTGAAAGAGCAAGTCTGAGCCTAGACCCTGTCTGAGGCCTCTTGTCTCACTGTGCTTTACCACAATGCCATTCACTGCGTTGTGATGCAGCCGAAGAGGTGCTCATCAGAGCTGAACAGATGCTGGTGTCATGCTCTTAATATTCAGAACTGTGAGCTAAACAAACTCCTTTTACTGATAAAGTATCTAGCCTAAATGTATTTTGTTATAGCAACAGAACACAGATTAATACAGCACCAGATGTGGAGAAGGCTTTATAACCCCAATTTAAATATGAGGAAAAGGAATCTCACAGAAGCTCGAAATCTTTCCCAAGATCATGATGTTAAACAGAGGCAGATAGAGTATTCAAATTCATGTATTTCCAGTGTCAAAGCATGCAAATAATCTTAACTAGTAGACTCTATTTCTAGACTATTCCACTATCTTAACATTATTTTTACTTATTATGGAATTACGTTAAATTCTCAATATAAAAAAAGAGAGGCAACCAGGATAAAGTGGGAACCTGATATCTTATTTATAATGAATGGGTGACAGATATACTAATCTTTGTCCAAAAAAAAGATGGTGGAAGAATAAATGAAAGACCACATTTAATTATTTGAAGATAGTCGTGAAATCTTAGTATCATTTTTCATATTGCACATGAGTTAGAACAGTGATCAATAGGTGAAAGTTTTAGGGAAACATCTTTTAGCCCACTTAATAATGGAGAGCTTTCTAATAGTCATGGTTTTCAACATATGAAGCACACTCCTTTGGGAAATGGAGACTTTGACTCACGGATCTCATGCACAGTTTGAATGACTATTTGGCAAGAAGGCTTCATGAATAAGGCAGCAGAACTATGTCTCCATGAGACTCTAAGAGTCTAGGACCCAAAACATACTTGCTTGAGTACTAGGAAACTATTCTAGAAATAGAACTTCAGTTTACTCAATCAGAAAGGAAGCTTTAATAAGAAACTTTTAAGTAGGTCAAGAAGTAAATAGTATTTGAGTCAAATGTTAACATATTGCTATCATATACATAAAGATAATACAGTTATGTTAGACACACACATGATGTGATTGAAAATTCTGGTATTGGGGGCTGGGGATTTAGCTCAGCGGCAAAGCACCTGCCTGGCAAGTGCAAGGTTGTGAGTTCGGTTCCCGGTACCGGAGAAAAACCAAAAAAAAAAACACCAAAAAAAGAAAATTCTGGTATTTACTTTATGCTACTGATTCCCAAATGTGGCAGCAGCAGCAGCATCACCTAGCTACATGTTAGAAATGAGGTTCTTGGGCCCCACTCCAGACCTACTGAAAAATAAACTGAGGGCTGGGCCCAGGAAATTGAGTTTCAACAAGATTCCAGGTGCTTCTGAGGCCTGCTGAAGGTGGAGAACCACTGCTTCTACTCTGTCCACCTTTTTGCCCTGTGGCTACCACTGCTGGCTCCAGAGCTTACCCTGGTTTACAGTTCTGTAGCCTGAGTCACAGGCTGAGTGATGCTTTTTCTCATAAAAGCCACTCATCTCTGTGCACACAGATTTACTTTTGTTTCCAAACACTCCAATGCTGCACCCACACGTCAAGCTGCTCTTCAGGGCATACCTCTGCTGCCCATTTGGTTCCCCTTCTCTGGCTCGCTCCCAAAGTGGTCTGGGTATCTTGTTAACATTCACCCTCTTCAACAGAGTGGGCATGCAGCGAATATTGCAAGTAAGATGCAGTAAGTGCATACGTCTTACAATCTCACTGTGGTGTATATGGGCCAGTACGATGCCTGCTTGAAGACACCACTGATAAAATCATCCCAAAGGCTGACATGCTAGTTTTACTTTTTTATGTTCATAAATATTAAATCAGTTAATTAAGATATTATAGTTTCAATGTAAAGGGCGTGTAAGACAACTGTGCTACGAATATGAACAAATAAATTTC